ATATAAATTTTTCAGATGACAATCGAAAACATTAGTTTATTCGGCAAGAAAACAGAAATACTTGTCTGATTTTTATATATATTTTATTAAAGTTGTAAAACGTTTCGTATTGCAACTTCGAAACAAAACTTTTGAAAAAATGTTTTTATAAACGTATTATCTTTGCACATATTGTATCCGATAATTAATGTTCGCGAAGGAAAACGTCAGTCACTTGCCATATAGTATCAATTTCCCTAAAATATATAGTTTTTTTTATACTAAGATCTACAGGAGGAACTTTATTAATCATCACTCTCCTATGTATCATTTTTATATCAGTAGTGTATACTTCTTTTATAATACTGTATGGGTAAAATAATCATTTGGGGAACATTTATCGTACGAGAAACGAAAAGTGAAAAACATGTAAAGTCTAACTGTTTCAAAATACTGTTACAAATTTTATACACATATAAATAATTTTATCGAAATTAGACGTAAAACTAGCATCGCTTGTATAATGTAATGTAAAATTCCTTATGAATGCTAAGCTTTGCCAGAAAAATAAAAATACAGGGGATATCTGCTTGACATTGAGGTAAACTGCTGCCTCATTAAACTCGCAAGATATCGCCAAAATAGCGAAGATTTAGTAACAAATTTTTGTCGATAAATTTGGCAGCTAATTGGAAACATTTTGGTCGGAACCCTATATAATTGTAATTGGTACTATAACTAAATAACTGCACTTGATACTATAACTGAATAACTGTAATTGATTCCTATATGTAACTGCGACTAATTCTGGCCCTCATATGCCATTGAGTAATATCGAGAAATCGAAGGTGATAGAGAATTCTAGGCGGCCGGGATAAAACCAGGAGAGAGCATCTGTTTTCAGTTTCTCAGTTCAAAGTCAACTGGGGAGTACTGAGATATATCCGTGCGCGCTTAGCTCTTTAGATGCACTTTGCATTGCTTTGTGTTTAACGTTGTTAGTAGTTTTAAGTGTAATTACTGTTTGTGCTTTGTGATACTGAAAGAGCTGTACGAGTACACTTGTGGAAAGTTCCAGAACTATAAAGTCATTCTTTTGGCAAAATAAATTTCATCAAGCTATCATTGATTTAAGAAAATAATCAATATTATAAAATGTCACTCATATTATACGCGAAATTTTGAATCGTAGTCCCAAAATGAGCTCTTCTTCTCTAAATGAATGCTCAGAAATGTACAGAAAGATACATTTTTGCTTCAGAAATGCTAAGCTTCCTTTTCTTAACATCAAAATGTCTTTAGAGAATATTCTCAAAGAAACGGCGTTAAACATAAATCTTATATCTACACAGTGGTGTGTATGCAATATATCACACTCAGAAGTCATGCTTAATTTGCTTTTGATAAAAGAATTCGAAATGCAGATACAGGTATTGAACTAAACGATAACATAAAGAAATTCATACACCAATGAAAAGCTGATAAATCAAATACAATCGCCTAAGAGAAAATTCTGGTCGGATTTACAAAAGCGCTAGTTAAATCAGCTACTCATTACCTCTGCAAAGAGTTTACTAATAAAGCAAAGAACAAAGAAATAAATAATTCAGTCAACAAATTAAAAAATAAATAATTTTGAAAAAGGCCAAGGAGTTCTATGCGTTTTCCTAATTTACCAGTCCAAAATAGTGGAGCAGATGTTAAAAATAATTGCACACAATTTTCTATTAACTATTCATGGATTTTTTCCTTCTGAACTATGACCATGCATTATTTGAAATGTTAATTCAAGACTCGATTCATAAGATATTACTGCATTCTATCATAATAATTGCAAAAATAGAAAAGATAGGAAAAACGAATACTTACCGTAGTATTAGATAAGTATTTATCAAAACATTTGAAATTACAACAGAAGTTATATTAAGAAATGCCTTCAATAATTATAAGTAATATTACTTGACCAATCATATAACCATTTTCATCAAAGAACAAAATTTGCAAGACAAACGGCAGCACATCAGCACAAATTAGTTAAATAAAGCAGAACTGTTAAAATATATTAATGTTGAATTCAGTTTTCGAAATTTGTTTTAATTTTATTTAATTTATTGTTAATGAAACATATAAGGCATGAAAGTAATTGCAGTCGATAAAATGTAGTATTTTAAAAAGACCTTGATTTTGACTAAAACTAAATTACACGATTATAAAACCATTGCTTAGAATTAACATAAAGGTTAAGGTAAATAAAACTTGGTGTTACCCATTTCAATTATTCTGTTTAACATATCATTTGTCTTACGGTTCTCATTACAATATTTAAACATACGGCAGTGTGTCAGCCAAGATCGGACCAAACGGAAAAGAAGACAGCGAGGTACCAGCCACGGTTATCTTACAACGAACCATTTCGAGCTACCTCTTCCCATTACTGAAATTCTATTAGACCTACAAACTTGCAATTTTGTATGTCTACTAAAGCTTCCTTGAACAACTAAAATCCCAAATTTCATTGATCTACCTCTCAGAGTTATGGAATTGTTAAGGTCTGAAAAGTGTAATTTTTATCACTCACTGACTTATCAAAAAGCTAGACAACTTCTAAATGACTTAAATACTTGAAATTTAGAAACAATAATATTAGGCATATAAAAAGGATAAAATCTAAAACTTCAAAAAACTACGTTGTTATCGAGGTTAAACCAAATAATACTCATAACAAGCATTTGACAACGTCATCAATAGATGTCGTTGCACCGATCGCCGGTTTCCGGCCACTCAGATGCCTATCGACTTTGAGGAAAATGAAGCTGAAGTGTTATAAAAACCTGCTTGTAACAGATGAAATGATGGCGCAGAGTTAGAGCGCAGAAGCGGCTGTTTTTTTTATTATTATTATTATTTTTTTTTTTTCATTTTTGGTAGTGTTTCAGGTCTAACTATAGCGATAGACTAATTATAGCTATATCGCGAAAAGAATGTAAAAAGCCTTCAAACGATAAAAGGATTGTCGTTCAATAACTCAAATTTAAGTAACGAAACAGATGGCAGTTCTACCTAGCTTCGCACTCCGAAGAAAGACATGGCTGTATAGGCAGTTTCGTGGTTACCTCAATGTGTGAATGCAGGCTGATTTTCGTTGAGAAATGTTTTATATTTTTCCATGTAAGAATGTCCTCCAAAAATGTACCCTTAGAGAGATAACAATGATGTGAGCTTATCTACAAGTCAATCGTATGGTAGATGATGCAGCAAAAAATTGTGCTATGTAAATGTACTGTCATGCTTATAATACGCATACGTCAATTTTGTATCAAGTGCTTACATCTTTGAAACATCATTTGATTTATTATGTCTCTCTTAAAATAAGTATTTAATATTTTCCTGCATTCCATGTTACTGCTCTTTCTGAAATTATATCTTCTGCTCTTCAGTTAAATATTTTGTAGTACATTGAATAAATGGAAGTAAAGAATGAAAAACAAATATATTAAACTAAGAATATTTTGTTTTATTACTTACTTTCAATTATTTAGCAAGTATAAACCCTATAATAAAACTGCAGATAAAGCATGTAGAAAGAATGCTTCGTAAAATTAAAAACTAAACGTCAGTTTTAGTTCAGTAATAGCTATAATACTCTTATACCTCAAAAATTAAAAATATGTATCTCCATTCATGTAATATGTATAAAATCATAGTTTAAGAAAAGAGAGAGACGTTTTGAACTGAAATGAATTTATTTTTAATAGCATGAATAATCAAAACTGATAACGAAAAAAATGTAAATCACACTGTAAACAATATTACATTAACAAATTTTATATGATATAAATTATTTAATATAACAATATAAACAGCTAAATTTCTTATTTGTATAATATTAAACAATTATGACTACACGTTAAGAAAACTCTGTAATAGATAGAAGACTGGATAAGTTTTGGAAATGTTAGTAAAAATTAAACACTAAAATATGCATAGAAAATAAGTAGCAATTTTCCAATAAAATAATTGAAAGGAATATATTATTTCATGTATAATATTTTATTGTATTCTATTATGTACATTTTTATTTCTAAATAAAGTCAAGGATGTGTTTTCCCCAATCCTATATTTTTGTTCCTAACAATCATTTTAAAATTAAGAAATATTAAGTTGCGTATAAAGAAGAAACTATGCATTGAATGATATTTCTAAAAAAATAATTTTAAGTATTAATTAGTACTTATAAAGTCAATTTAACTAATCTTTTAACACATTTTATCATAAAACCCTCATGAATAAATAGAACAACAATTTGTTTAATGTTGTAAACTGAATATGACCAATTAAATATATTTATATTTGAAAAGAAACTTACAGAAAATAAATCAGTTAATTATATAATCTCTTAATATAATTATATAAGAAAACAATCAAACAAAGTTAATTATATAAGAAAACAATCTCTGCGCACATTTCTAACATTTCCGCTTTTAGTAGTACAACCAACGTTACAAATTAGCATTGTATGATTTTTATTTAATCTATTACTTTAATAATTAAATCTGTAAACAAAAATTTTCGCAATTATTTATTAAATACATTAATGTATAGTTTAAACCTATTTTAAATGATAAGGAATTAAACTATACAATGAAGATATTTTCTGAATGAAAGTTTCTTTGAATTTAAAAATTTTGTCAGTGAATTTCATAATCTTTTGTTTCTTTGATCATTGCTAAAGCTTGAAAACCAGTTATCACAAATTCCTGTATTAGCAGTAAAACTAACGTAAGACTGGCACTGTTTCTTTTTCCCAAAACAAAAATACTTTGTGAAGCATTAATTAATTATGGAAAATACTTATTATATGGTATTTTTATGATACTTAAATTAAAATACATACAAAGACTGAAATTAGTTTTTTATATTAGATTATGCAGTAATTATGATGCTGTAAGATTCAGCTGTTTAATATCGCACACTAAATTCTATGAAATTATCCCTTAAACTGCCTCATAAAAATATTTCTTTTAAAATTATTTTTACAATGAATATGAATTTCTTGCTGAAAATAATCAGATATTTTATTGTTAAGGAATGAAAATTCATATCAGTATGGAATTCACGATACACTTAGTATGTATTTTCCATTTGTAAAAGAGAGGCTGTTACCATTTACATAACAAATCTAAAAATACTGTACAATTTATACATAAATTATTATTTTAGTCATTTAGTAGTATAAGAAAAAATATATTAATTGAACATTTATCACAAAGAAATAACAGTATTTAATGCAGACCTTTTAGGCATACGTATCAAATTCGCCAAATTATACTTTGCAGAATGTAATTTTAATTTTCATTTTAGCAGTATGAATGTTAAAAAAAATTAAAACACTTTAATATTATATAATGATTTATGATTTTGGCACGATATTTTAGATCATATGAAGAATAATGTCACAACATTAAAGTTCAATAGGAAGTTATTTACATGAATACTTTGCAGTATGCACCCTAGTTGCTTCATATTGAGTGAATGTCCATTGGTTTGAAAAATTCTTCCTTGTTTCTCAATAGATTCTTCTTACAGAAAATATCATTTCGGCCGAAGGAAGAATTTGACGGACGCAGAATTGCTGTGAATCTCTTGGAAATTTCTTTTTTCATAACTGAAAGTTCCAAAAAATGATTACCTTTGTTCTGTTTTGAACTTTAGTCAATCATCATCATGCATGGCAAAAGGAAAAGCTGAGTTTTGTTACCGACAGCATTTATAAGACGACCCCCACCATAATGACAATAAACATACTAGGATGTAAATCACTGCATCAGAATCAGTTCTTAGCACTGAGTTTTCACCGTCAGTAGAAACTAAAGAAAAGAAATTAAATATCAAAAGAAACATTATATATTGAAAAGAAAAAACATCTGACACATTTCAGATTTTAATATAAAGCCCAAAAGAGCGTTTAATTGTGTGTTACCTTTTTTTTTTTTTTTATTAAATAAGTTTTTCACACTGAGAACACATGAAACTCAATTCAACAGCAATATCTCAAAATATTTAAAACAGGATATCTTTAAAATTTCCGATACACAGTCTCGCTTGCTGGAGACAAAATTTTTTTTTTTCCGCACAGTGTTGCCGTTGCTCGTTTTGAAATCGTTGAGTTTGTTAATCAAAAATTCGTTAAAGTTTTATAAAATATGAAATAAACAATAAAAAAATTCCAAATTCCAGGTATCCGTATTCGGGTTGAGGATTAGTTTATTCAAAATTTGATGGCTCTAGGTAATGCTAATTTTCACAATGCGAAACACATGCATATATTTATGCAGATTCTTCATAATTTGATTTATTTAAATATAATGCAGTTCGATAATATTTTGAGGCAACAATTTGAAAAGTGATGCGGCTTTTATAGTGAACCGAAGCAAAATGCCGTTTCGAAATTAATAGCCCGCCTGTGTCACCGCTCCTTTGGGTTAAACATTGCGTACAGTTTTGTTTTGTATAGTAAGAATTTCAGACATGTTATCTGTATAACTACTTTGTGCGTATATTTGATATTTTATTTTCTCATATTCCCTTTCCAACCAGAGATATATTACAGCCTTTTTTTTAAATCCTAAACCTACAGATTTATAATAATTTTCAAATAGTTCCAATCCATTTTAAATAACGTTATAGAGTTATTTTATTATTTGTCCTAAACTTAAACAGGAATATTAAATTCACTTCTGATAAAAATTAAAATACGCTAAATTTTACATTCATTTAAGTAATAAATAAATGGTAATCTCAGAAACTATGAATAAATTATAAGTAAAATGATACTAGTATAACCAACACAATATCCTAAATAAAAATACGGACAGGAAAATCGGAGCTCCATCAAGAAAAGTTACCACGAAGCAGACTTTATATGATTTCCCAGGGGATTAGAACTTAATCAAAATACTCAAAGCTTTATATTAATGTTGATAGAAGGAATTTGGCATAAAAAGGAAATTACAAACAACTTGCAAAGCAGAGGTAATTTAAGGTAATATGATTATAAATTAATTTAAAAAGTAATTTTTTCTCTGACTACTCATATGTACGTAATGAAGAGGAGTGTATGGAGAAAAAATGCTTTAATAGTCAATACATTATTTGCAACATATACGCTTATGATGCTTATACAGTAGCAATCAATACCATACATAAATATCAAGGAATTTTCTCATAATAATAGAAAACGAGATTAGTTGATACAAGCTTTTATGGTCCTAATACGAAAACAAATTTATGTTCACTAAAGCAATCTCATGCATTTTCTTCAAACTTTATTCATTTTCACCAATGATATAATATTTTACCATTCAAATAATAAATTATTTATTTTGATCCCCGTGATTTGTTTGTAGTCTTAATGAAGTTCAAAATGCTGTGTAATATTAACAGAACTTTTAGTACTTAAAATGTACCAAGCAAAATGTTAATATTTACCAAGTGTATCGTAATATGAAATGGTTTGGAAAACGTTGCATTAACCTAGCACAATTAACAGCATTCAGTATTGACCAAGTGAAGTATAATACTAACAAAATAGAAATGATGAGATGAACAAGTTTCACATGACATTTTTTGGATAAGTTTTTATATAAAATTTCAAAAAGTATTAATGTACAAAACATCTATTGCTATGATGTTCAAAATCTCTATAATTTACTTCCACTGAAAGAAATTTACAAACTGCTTTTCTTTATTCATCTAACCTTTTTATCCACTTATGCTTACTATGTTAAATGACAATAAGTGGAGGGTTCTTTTTCCATGCATACCTTTCACAACTATATATAACATTCCAAGATTCTATTTTTCTACAGATTAATGGAATTTCTATGGGTACCCATAATTCCACTGTGTAACCTTTACTTATTTACTAAATAATAACAGTTTCAATAAACATTGAAAGTGATAGGTAATACTGTTTTAATCAGTTAATCATAAATAAACATATTTGCACAAAACTGTCTCATCTCCAAGAAGAAATTATTCTCATTGCATACACAGTAAAATATTCCTAAAATAATACTCCTAAAAGTTTTCTTTATTACTATCTAAAAATCCTGGCGTTAACTACAATCTATAAATTTGAAGTTATTAAATGAAAATTATTTCGAAACCGAGAGGAGAATAGAGGCATATATGTAACTTTAGATTTATAGATATGTAATTATGCAAATAATCCTTTGGTATGTTGACTATGACTAGGATAGTCCATTTATTTATTTTTTTTGGCACTACGGCAACCAAGATGATATTCTATTTTTATGCTATCTTTGTCGTTTTCCTAAGCATCCTGAGTCAGAATAAGCCTTATTATTATTTTTCTGTTTCGCTATTTACAAAATTACATTTTACACCTGAACATTCTAACGCAGACAAATTTTTTGCCAATTCTCCAGTCCCCTGGCATCATAATGCTTCAAATTCAAATTCTTGTAGATCAAAAAGACGAGCAGACATTCACATACTACTGGAAGAAGAAATTGACGTTTAGTAGCATTTGTCATTCTTATTAATTTCGATTTGTAACTCTGTAAAATGCTGCCGGGATTTATATTTTTTTTAAATCTAGACTTACGTTATATAAGATTCTTTTTATTGTTTTCAGTATGTTAGTGTTTTAAATATTTGCCAGGTTTTTTTTTAATCGAATTGTGTGTGTGTGATTATGGCAAAGCCTCGAGGGCTATCTGCCTAAGGGGAAGGATGCCTTCGTGGAGGACTTTCTAAGGGAAACTGGCTCGTATACACGTTACACATGGGGAAAACCACGAAAACGCCCATGCAGCCAGCCCGTTCGCGGGATTCGAACCTCGGACCGAACTACCAGTGTTCAGCGACTTTACCGCTCGGCCGCTGGTGGGCCTGTTTTTAATCGAATTATTTTTATAGACAATTATAATATCGTTACTACACAAAAAGAAAGCCCTATTAAACGAAACCGGTTATAATAGAAATACATTGAATCGAATTGTCAACTATTATTACAAACAATTTCCCTTGAAGATATAATATATATAATTAATTATTTTCTGTGTATCACTTTTATTATCAACATTAGATATTCGCATATATATTTTTTTAATTTGCATATCATATTAAACTTTTATAAAATAAGGAAGTCATTTTATTTTACAGGATACATTAATCTTTGTTAAAACTTAATTTTTATTTCACCTTATTACATTTGTTTTGTATTTTGAATAAAAATTAATTATTTTTCTTTTCAGTATATTGGATTTCTTTAACTGTATTAGAAAATAGATTCATATGTGGCTTCAGAATAATTTGCAGTTAAATTAAATATCAAAAAGTCTTTCTGTGCACTTTAATTCAAATCCGTTTTCGGTAAACTCAGCTGGTAACATTAGAAATTACACTAAAAGAGTAGTTGTAATACTATTTTTAAAATTCTTATTGTAAAATTTAATTTAAAAGTTTTTCCCTGTTTTGAAGAATACATTTTGAGGTTTTGAAACAAGAATAATTTCTTCACTACTTATTTTTCAAACTTTGCAAAACCCAGCTTAGAATATGGAAAAAACATAATGTTTAATAAATAAAAATAAAATGATTGGCTCATATTTTGAATGCAGGTAAAATATTAATAATTAAAAAAATGTCTGAATTCGAGAACAAATTCTCACATCGTAACCTTAAATTTTGATTTAGGTAAAATATTCATTGCACTTTGCCTACTAGTTCTATAATTGGACTTGCTAATAATGACATTCATCATGCAATTTAATCCACAAATTTACATATCAGCTGTCATGATGGCATCGTAGGTCATTTATCAAATAGTCTAGAATTTAGAATAATTCAAAATTGTCTGCGAGTAGGATAAGTTTTAAATGCTAGAAACTCTGCTTGCAGAATTCTATGCTGATTGGGAGGAAGCAATTAATTAAGAGCATTTTTGGAGAAAGTGCGACTGTAGCGAAATTAGTCAGTGCTGGGACATGTATGCAATTAATTTTAACTGTAAGTGTATATAAAATTAATTCTAACTGAAGTAATTTATTTCTAAAGTATTTTTAAGTTCTAGTTCGAAATTTTAGTGTTAATTGCCTTTGAGTCTGCGATATTGACTTAAATTTCGTTGGTGATGTGGTAAATATATTCGTTTCAGGTCCTTTTTAAATTAAATGATTCAAATAAAATCTGCTGGAAATAAATTTTACAAACTAATTCCTGTATGAATATCTGTTTAGAATTGCATGTAAACATACGCCAAATCTAGTATACTATTAAAAATTTGTGCGCGTGTATCTGTTTGTTTGTTTGTAGTTTCATCTCCTTCGGAGCGGCGGGGAGTTGAGTTTCGAGATAGGTACCCCCCGGATTCCAAATAGAAAACAGTTTCAGTCATTCTCATCTTCTCAAAAATAAATTAGCCGACATGAAATTTTTGAAAATATAACGCTGATTTTTGTTGTTTGACTTAGTATTTATTCGGCGTGTTATTGTGTCTTAATTGTAAACTTATTGACCTCTAGTCAGGATTCGTTTAGTTTGTTTTATTTGATTATAACAAAACATTCGAGGGCTATCTGCTTAACAATAGAGATGCCTTTGTGGAGCACTGATTCTAAAGCCCAGCTGCTGTTGAGCTTACCTCTAGTCAGAAATGCTGCTATATAATTTATTAACAGGAGCAACACATTTTCATATTGGTACTATGAATTTCAAATTTTCATTTGGCATGATTTAAAACATGACAGATGAACTAACTTTTATTACAAAGGGAAGGCTTAGGATTATGCATACTGACATTTCTTCTGCTTAGCAAATATATATAAGAAGAAAAGGTTAT